GAGAGAGAGAGAGAGAATAAATAAATAAAACCAAGAGTAAGACCCAGATATTATGGTTAGCAGTAAAAGGGTATTTGTCATTGTATGTTCAAAACAAAACAGAAGAAATGAGAAAACTGATAAAAAGAAATTTTCAAAAACTGTAATCTCTAAAAAGAGAAATGAAAATTTTACAACTGAAATTAAGAGTCACTAACCAGTTTAATGGAAGTTTAGCAAATCAGAAAAGATTAGTGACACAGAAACATAAAAATAAAGCTCTTTTAGACAATAAATGTTTTAAATGGTATGTTAAACCTTTTCGTTGTGTTCCATGGGTCACACATTCTTTAATGCATTTTCCAACTACTTGTCCTTTCCTTTGGAAGTCCAGAGGACAAATGGATTTTTAAAAAGATACTGTAAGAGGCATGTAAACAACAAAAAATGTCTAATACTTTAAAAACATTTATTGTCTGAAAGAGTATATAATGCATGTAATTTGTCTAACATATTACAAAATTAAGACTTTTAAAAAACATAATTATTTGATAATATACTTTTATTAGAGTCTCAGAAGGATAAGGAAAAATGGCAAAGAGCAGGAGCAACACTTAAAAGATATATCAACTGAGAATATTCCAAATTGCTAAGATATACACCAACAAATTCAAGAGACTGTGCAACCTCAAGCAGGATAAACATGAAAGAAATCACACCTAAAACACATGATTAAAAAAAAAAAAAAGACTAAGCAAAAGAAAAATGACTTCTAGAGTAATAACTGCTCTGCCTATTGAAGATTATGAGACAGAAATGACACCTTAGGGAGAAACTGCAAACTCCAATGCTCACAGAAATCCTTACCTCTGTGGCAAAGAACTGCAGTTTTACTTAGAAAGGGGTTAATCTGTTTAAAATTGGAAAGGATAGGTAATAAGCATCATGCTAAAAGTTTAAAATCAGCTATTTCATCCAAGAAAAAAAGAAAGAAAGAAAGAAAGAAAGAAAGAAAGAAAGAAAGAAAGAAAGAAAGAGGAAAAAACACTATAAAGTTAAGTGTAATTATCCTATGGACAGAGTTTCAGTAAAAAAAAAAAAAACTGACTACCATAAGTTTTAATTTCCTCAAAACAGTAGATAGAGACAAAGCCAAAAACCAAATTCAGTTATAAATACTAAGTCAATGCCTTATATGACATACTACCCAGTCTCCTACAAAGATGACTCTATACACAACAAAAGCTTCTGTAATTGCCATGCTTACAACTATAAACAATGTGACTGGAAAGAAATGTTTTAAAATTGCTTCTTTAGCAGATGCATTAGTTATCAATTACTGCATCACAACTTATGCCAAAACTTACTGATTTAAAACAGTAATAAATATGTATTCTTTTACAGTTCTATGGGCAAGCAATTCAGCAATGGCTTAGCTGGTTGGTCCTCTCAAGATCTGTCTAAAGGTTGCAGGCAAGACATCAGCTGAGGCAACAATCACAGGAGGACCTGACTGAAGTTAGAGTATCTGTTTCCAAGATGGCTCACTTAAATGTCTGGCAAAATGGCACTGGCTGTTAGAACAAGGCTTCTCAGCTCCTTGCTTACAGGCTTCTGGGTAGGTCTACCTGAATGTCATCAGAACATGACAGGCTGCTTCTATCCCAGTGAGTGGACCCAAAGAACAAAACGAAAATTTTGTGTTTTATATGGCCTAGCTTCAGAGGGTATGTACTGTCATTTCTACACTATTCTATTGATCATATAGGTCAGCCATGATTCAGTATGAGAGGGAAGGACACAAGGACATGAATAATAGGAACTGAAGATCACTAGGAGCTATCACAGTTTAGCTACAAGAACAGTAATCAAATGTTAAGAACAACAAACCTATTTCAAAAAAGAAATCATTATTCCATGTGTTCTGATAGGCTGTCATAAATATAATAGAAATATATATAAGCCAACAGTTGTTTATTTAGAAACAGATTATTACAATCAAAGACATATATTATATATATATATAGCCTCAATATAAGAACAACTAACAGCAACAAAAGGGAAGTATTATTAACACAGTTATCCAAAGGATCTTCACATTTGATAAAAAGATACCCCATGATAATCTACACAACTCAAGTAGCTATCCCATTCCAAACTTCTGTTTTTAATATAAAATATGAAAGCGCTAATTAATCTAGTCTAAACCAACCTGAAAAAGAAAAATAACAAAAAGCAACAAATAAACACTTCTACTTATGTGTCTACAAGGAAGAAACAGAAATCATTACAAAGTTAACATTAAATGTGACACAGATGATGTGTGCATTCTGAAGCAAATGTGTTAAATACAAATTGAATCCTAAATGTTAGTCTTTATAATAAGGTGCCACATGTTGCTCAAGTCTGGACATCAAATGTGCATCCAATGTGAAAAGTTAATTCTAGCCTCTTGACTATTTTGCATAAAAGCACTCATCCACGGACCATTAGATAAAGTTACTGTAAATAAGGTTTGCCTGTCTTATTTATAAGTGAAAACTAAATAATTTCTCTCACATAAATATACAAAAATAAATACTTTCACAACACAGTTCACTGAAGCATTCTTGCAAGGTTTCAAAACCATAAATAAAATGAAAACTCTAATATTAGGCACTTGATGTACCATTTCATGCTTTTCTGACAGGTATCTTTATGTTAAGTTAAAAGCAAGCTCAAGGTGAATTTTTAAAGTTTTTTTTCCTCCTTGCTGTATACAAAGAAAACAAAGTGATTCAAAAATACAATTCACAGAGGCTATTCTGCTACACCACCCTATATACCACATTTTCAATAAAATAAAAATTTTAAATTAAGTAGATTTAATAGAGTTTCACTTTTATTTTTTTAAAAAAGTTTTAAACAGAAATAAGGCCTTCATGCAGTTGAACTTCCATGGTAAACAACCCAGTGTTAATAAAAAGCAAATCAATAATTTTTGTTAAATTTTAATAATCTTACAAACCTACAAATAAAACCATCAACAGTCTGAGTTGAGATGACAGTTAACTGCGTTACTATGACAACCTAGTGGAATAGAACAAGTCCTGACTTGCAGCTAAGCAAAGATATGAACAGAGTGACATTTACCCATACAAGAAAAATTTGCAGCTTTCCTTTAAAAAGAATCAATTCCTCAACTAACATGGATTTTTACTAAGTATATAGCACTTTTAATTAAAGACAAATCCTTTAAACCTTCCTATGAAGTTCTAGAACACTATCTGAAAATAAATGTCATATCACTGTCACTCTTACTGAGTTTTGAACTTATAGGGGGGGAAATTACTTTGGAGGTTAACAAATTAAAACAATTAAAGATTTCTGTCTAAAAAACTGCTCAGCAATTTGTTACTGTTGTTAATTTGTTCCCACAGGGTAAATTTTCATGGAGGAAGTCTTGCTACATAACATGCACTTGTATATGAAAAAGAATACCGCATTTTGCTTCTCACTATTAATTTTAAGTTTGTGTACCCAAAAAAAGGTTTCTTTT